AAAGCAACACTGTTGACAGGAAAGAAACATTTTGGGAATATTCATGTTAGTGATGTCATGTGTACTCAAGTCACTGCAACAAACTCCAATGGTTTAGTTTGTCATCAGGTGATGCTTATGATCAGTACACTGTAGAGCAATGAAAAAGTAACTAATTGTTGTACAGTAGTCCCTCGCTACTTTGCAGTTTGACTTTCGCAGACTCGCTCTATTGCCTTTTGTGTACGTACCGTACTGTACGTACACAATAAGGTGTGGGGTTTTAAAGACATTTCAACTTTAATGCACCTGAACACACAACATCTTTTACAGTTGCAACGTCTGACAGCATCACAGTTGCTAAGCTAAGATGCTACAGATGTAGCGCTCCTTTCAAGCATCCTCCTATCATGAATATCAACCCCCTGGTCAACCACTGCCCGCACTAAGCTGCTAAACTGGCAAGCGAGTAACACAGGTACCTCCACCTCCTCCACCTGTGCGCGTTTTCTGCCGAGGCAAGAGGCAGGAAGCGACGGTGGAAAGTTGTAGGTAATCAGGAAAACCTGGAGTGGAGTTTTAGTAGCTTGAGTTTTATCCTATTTATCAAGTGGAATGGATTCATTCACTAAGAAAGAGAAACTGCGCCACCTGAGCATGGACTTTGTTGTTTTCAACCAGTTTGACAAGACTGTCAACAAGGAAGAGGGCTGGCAATGGAGGAGGGGGCGTACCAAAGAGACCATATTATAACAAGCAAAACTGGTATGTTCCACTTTGGAGTAAATGTTGGGGGAAGAATCAGTTTTGTTGTGTGTTTCCTTGACTGATGAAGCCTTCCGGACCGAAGGCGAAACGTTTCAGCACAAAAAAAAAAGAAACTGTCCAGATGACCTGACTGAAAAATGTTGGATTGTATACCTGGATTATTGAACATGGACTTTGTCGCCTGAACTAATGTTATATAGTAAAAGTTGGGGGGTCCAAATGAACGTTTTTTTAATGTGGGGGGGGACTTGTCCCCTTCACATTATGTGGGGGGATTGGTGGCGCAGAGGTTAGAGAAGTGGGCCTGCGATTGGAAGATTGCCGTTTCATGCCCCGGTACAGACATCAAAAATGTGGGTGGGGTAGGTGAAGCAACCACATTTGCCCCTACCCTCATTTGCCCCACTCTGGGCCCATGAGCAAGGCCCTTAACCCCCCATCTGCTCCCTAAACAGGTCTCTCTTGAAAATGAGTTCTCGTGGCTCAATGCAACTACCTGTATATCCATCCATCCATCCATCCATTTTCTTTACCCGTTTATTCCATTTTGGGTCACGGGGGTCGCCGGTGCCCATGTCCAGCAATCACTGTGCGAGGGGCGGGGTACACCCTGGACGGGTCGCAAGTCCATCACAAGGCCACACAGAGACAAATGAGACAAACAACTATTCACTCTCTCACTCACACCTAGGGACAATTTAGAGTTACCAATCAGCCTAACATGCATGTTTTAGGTCTGTGGGAGGAAACCGGAGTACCCGGAGAAAACCCACGCATGCACGGAGAGAACATGCAAACTCCACCCAGAAAGGCCCCTGGACCGGGGTTTGAACCAAGGACCTGCTCGCTGAGAGGCCAGTTGCGCCACCGTGCTGCCCCTCCCTGAAATCATGAAATTGACACAAACAGATAAAGTAAAAAAACTTCATTACCATTATTCTGCAGCAGAGCTCCAGTGGCGCAATCGGTCAGCGCACAGTACTTATAAGACAGTATGTTGTGGAGTAATGCTGAGGTTGTGAGTTCGAGCCTCACCTGGAGCAGTGCTGTATTTTAAAAGGGAAATGGATCAACTGAATATCTTCTACATGAAGACTGACATCTCCTGAAATTTATAGTTTTCTCTATGTTTAAAACAGAAAGAGCACATTCCTACAAACTCAGCACTTCACACCTAAGTCTCTCTCATTTACCACTCAGAGTGATGCACATCACCTCCACATTAAAGCAACACTGTTGACAGGAAAGAAACATTTTGGGAATATTCATGTTAGTGATGTCATGTGTACTCACGTCACTGCAACAAACCCCAATGGTTCAGTTGGTCAGCAGGTGATGCTTATGATCAGTACACCGTAGAGCAATGAAAATTGTTGTACAGTAGTCCCTCGCTACTTCGCTGTTTGACTTTTGCTGATTCGCTCTATTGCCTTTTGTGTACGTACAGTACTGTACATCTTTTCCAATTAAAATAAAATTCAATTAAAAAATTAAAAAATTCCACCTTTTTGTAGATTTCTTTCATCAAGCATTCACAGTTTTTGCCTGTCTAAATAACTACGTTACCCAGAAGCCATCAGTTCACTTCCCAGAAGTCAACACTGCTTCCAACTGCTGCCTTCTGCAAATGAAGGGAAAGTTTTGCAACACAAAGTCAGAAGTTCTGTAAGGATAAACTCACAGAACTGGCAGGAAAGTCACAAATAATTCTGAAGCTGAACTCATCCTTCAAGTTGTATCTTCATTGGTGCTGCAGTTCATCTGGATTCAGTGTGACTCAAATACTTAGGAGTTACAGGCGACAGACATCTGCAGGATTCAGCCTGGTTCTGCTCACGCAGTGCTGGTCTGAACCGGGCCAGAGGTGGTGGACTAAATCCTGGGCAGAATGTCCTTCCTGGAGTAGCAGCATGCACACATCAAGCTGGATGGATCAGTGGACTTCAGTCATGCTGTACTGGGACTTTTTTCATCTATCGGGTCGGACCAAAACTGACCCGCTGCTGTTCTGCAGAGCCTGGTTAGTTAAATGTAGTACCTGTATATACTGTATATGTATCTTGTTGTTAAAATTAGTATGTTTAAGAGTTTAGAGGAATGATTTGTGGGCTTCATCGCTGCAGGATAGGTCAGTAGAAATGAACTGAGTCGGATCAGAACTCACCTGATGCTGTTCTGCAGAGCTAGAACGTAAAATTTAGTAACGTATGTTGTTAACATGACATAGGTGTAAGTGTTTAGAACATGTGGGAAGGGTTTCTAACACCTTAATATAAAATTTACTGTATATGAACATAAACTTGAACTAATGTATCCCTACTTCCTGGTTTTTCACTTATCGCAGGGCTTCAGGGTACGAAACCCCCACAATATACAAAGGACAACTGTATATACCGTGTACAATGTTGAGCAACAATAAATCTGAGTTCAAACTTCTTCTGAGGCATTCCAGCATTTTACTGGGAATCTGAGATTTTGTGTTAAAACAAACTATTGTCAAAAACTGCCATTACAGATGATGTTTTAATAGAATCCTGAGGTAAACATCAGAAGCAGTGATTGAAGCTCATGTTAGGTTGACATGTGGTTGTAGAGTAACCTTCGGGATGAGTGTGGGTCTATGTGGTTGTGTATCTCTGTGTTAGCCCTGTGATGAAGTCGTATTGGGTCCAGAACACACTCCACTTTCACCAGACGGCAACAGGAAGTTCCACCTCCCTGAAATCATGAACAGAAATTGACACAAACAGATGAAGGAAAAAACTTCATCATAATTATTCTGCAGCAGAACTCCAGTGGTGCAATCGGTCAGCGCACAGTACTTATATGACAGTATGTTGTGGAGTAATTTTGAGATTGTGAGTTGAAGCCTCACCTGGAGCAGTTTTTTGGGTTTCCATTATGACAGATCAAATTCAGTTTCACAGCAAAGGTACACTTTAATTCAAAGCAACTTGAAATTCTTGTTTGATAGAATATGCTGAGCATATCTTTAAATAAACAAAACACTGTAAAATGTTTTAAGATTTGAGCTTCTAGTGTGGCTTCATCTAAAAGAGGATGAAGTCATTTTATTTCTTACTGGGTTTACAATGTAGGTGGCACAGTGGCAGTTAATAGAGCTGTTGCCTCTCTGTGAGAAGGTTACCAGTTCAAATCTCAGCGTGGGACCATTCTGTGTGGAAATTGCATGTTCTCTCAGTGCATGCGTGGGTTTTCTCCAGGTACTCATTTTTTCCCCACAGATCAAAGACATGCATGTTAGGCTGATTGGTAACTCTATTCCTAGGTGTGAGTGAGAGAGTGAATGGTTGTTTGTCTCTGTGATGGACTGAGACCTGTCCAGGATGTCCCCTGGCTCCCCTAGTGACTGCTGAACATGGGGCACCAGTGACCTCTGCAACCCAAAAAAAAAAGAGGTAAAAGATAATGGATGGTTTTAAATGTATACCCAACTATATTTTAATCTTTGTTTTTTTTAAACAGTCAGTGCTTTTAGTGCACATGATCATTTTTTGTAAAAACATATTTACTACCCAACAAAGTAAAGTCAGGTCCTCTGGACAGCTAAACCATCCAGAGGACCTGACTTTACTTTGTTGGATTTTTCTACCTGGATTATTGAGCATGAATAAGGATAATATTTACTACACATTACTTTTCTAATGTTTTAAACTGATAACTGATGAAGTGGTAGATGAAGACCAGCGATAGAAATAAAACTTGTTTGTTAATAAAGTTTTATATTATATTATTAGGGCAGCACGGTGGCGCAACTGGTAGAGCTGCTGCCTCTCAGTGAGCAGGTCCCTGGTTCAAATCCTGGTCCAGGGGCCTTTCTGGGTGGAGTTCGTATGTTCTCTCCGCGCATGCGTGGGTTTTCTCTGGGTACTCCGGTTTCCTCCCACAGACCAAAAACATGCATCAAAAACATGCATGTTAGGCTAATTGGTAACTCTAAATTGTCCCTAGGTGTGAGTGAGAGAGTGAATGGTTGTTTGTCTCGTTTGTCTCTGTGTGTCCCTGTGATGGACTTGCGACCCGTCCAGGGTGTACCCCGCCCCTCGCACAGTGATTGCTGGACATGGACACCAGCGACCCCCGTGACCCAAAATGGAATAAGCAGGTAAAGATAATGGATGGATGGATTATATTATTATTATAGTTCATATATGGAGGTATAATTTAATAAATGAAAGATACATCACAAGATTGTTTTAGTTGAACATTTTATTTCACTGATTAAAAAAACAACTTGATAACAGAGCAGGAAGTTTTCAGAGGTTTTTCAGTGATTATTGATTGACCTTTAAAGATTGTGCCTGTTGTCAAATGAGATGAATTTATACTCAAACATTTATTACCTTTAGTTTTCAGTTAGCAAATCATTCTGACAGATAATATCCACTGTATATGAAAATGGATATACTGTTAGACAAAAAAAAATATAAAAAAATCCTGCACTTTCATCTTTTCATTCCTGGTTTCAGACGGTCTTCAGTTCTGTTCTCTGATCTACCAGACGGTGCGTTTCACACCATCCCATACGGAGGTTTTAGATCCCTGCTTGGCTCGAACATCGTCCCAGTGCAGCTTGGTGTCGGTGAGCTCATCCAAGGGCTCTGGGTTGGTACGCACTCCGTCTTTAGGACTTGCCACCACAATGGGCAGCGGGCCTTGGTTTGAATTGAACTCCACAACATGGAGCTGCTGCCTGTCAGCCAGCTTCTGAAACGTTTCCTGCAGGGAGGCCGAAGAAGTAGTGGTAAGAAGGAAAATCTGAGACGGTTCCTACAAATTACTGTATCTGATGGTGGATAAAGAAATATACATATAAGGTCAAGGAAACAATACTTCAAGTTTATTACTCATTAACAGCCAAGGGAGTTAATCAGCCATGAGCAATAAAATAACCAGGGCTTTTAAATAGATAAATTAACACAATGTCCTTAGCTGTCATTTTCATAGTCCTTTTAGTATATTTCAACTCATTTTCTTTTTTTAATGTAAATTATTGGATGATCATTAGTGCTCAAAAATGTGGTTTGAGCACCGTTTTGTTTGCCCTTAACATCTGCTACATTAAAACCTGACTGTGTCAGAAATGTCATTGACTTTAGAAACTGATTACACTGCTCTCTCTCTTACACACTCACACACACATTACCCTGTCACCCATTAGCTCAGGAAAACTGAAAACGCGTCTGACGTCTGCCCCGTTCACTCTCATTAAGACGTCACTTTCCACATGAACAATCGCCTTTGAGCAACTTTACAGTGAAAGTAAATTATTAGAACACAAATGTTCATTTTGCCATGATGCGTAGCTGACTGGATGAGGTATAACTGATACAATGTGTGCCCCAAAGTGACGACAGTAATCAGATTTGTTTTCAGATGCAGGAGGCAGCCATAATATTAAGGAATCTACTGGTTTCTAGTGCACACTGTGCTGCATTAATCAGATCACAGAAACAAGTTGAGACCGGCCTTAAAGTTATTGAGATAAACATGAATGTAGCTAATAACTGCAGCAAGATGAGAAAATGTTCAACTTTACGTGTTGCTTTACTAATAAAAAAGAATTTGGTCTTTAATCCCTCCCACCAGCCTGACATGCCCTCACCTGATTGGTCAATCCAGCAAAGAAGGCCCGAGTGATGTTGAGGAGATTCGTCTTTCCCTCCACTTTGCAGTACAAGTCCTTTATGCCAATCAGCTTGCACAAGGTGATGATCACCCGGTGGCAGCACAGACCATAACCTGCACAGACAAGTACACCGGCTCAAAATACGCAAAAACTCATAAATGCAAGAAAATACATGAAGCATCTTGTACTGAACTAACATTAATGAAACAAACCAACTCACCCTCGTTTTTTTTCTTAACACGCAGCGTTGTCGTCTGGAACTTGGAATCAAAGTCATGAAAAACTGTTGGCAGAAGAACATGACAGCTGTTACTCTCAGCCTGCAGGGCAGAAAACAGATGAAGCTAAACTGATCAATCAAACCCAGAAACGGCTTCATGTGTTCGAGCTGCTGTCACTTTGAGGAACCTGTGTTTTACGTCTTTTTTTTACTCTCATTCCAATTTCCCCTTAGATCTCGTGTTTCCAGGGCTGAGGGTGGGAAAGCTCCTGAGCCCGAACGTTTTCCATGACCAGGAGGTGGACATGAGGTGGGGGGTGCTATGTATGTGACAAACTTTTAACCCAAAACATATAATATCATATGAAAACAACTCTTTTAACCCATGGGTGGCTTATGGTCTTGTGGGCAACATGTTAGAGGGAAATTTTCCAGAGATCCAATAATTTTGTGTCTTTTTATGATTTTTCAGCTGAGTTAACTTTAACAGATTATTTAATAATCATTAAAGTGACAACAGGATTTCATGAAAAAGCCGGCACAGTTTATTTATTTTTTTAAATTTCAATGATAAAAAAAATTTAAAAATTTTTTTTACACATAAAATGTTTTAAAAAAATTGTTTCCACCGTCCCTCCCAGACCCGTCCTGGTCCGCCCGTCTGCTGGGATCGGCCTTCATGATTACGCGAGGCCGGGGTCCGGGCATCAGCCTTCTGCGAGTCAGCAGCTCGTATGATCCTCGTGGTGACCAGCGGAGCTCGGAGCCGGGGAGATGACGCCCTGCCCAGCCTGGCTCAGGGGGAGAGGACTGGGGAGACCGGTGGAGCTCCATCCAGCTCGCTCTGAATTTTGTTGTCGGCCACCAAGCGCAAAACAACCCCCGCACTTCAGCATTAGACCACGGTGTTGTCATTATTATTAAAATCTTTAAAATAGGTCCAGCTGCTGCTCCAGGTTCTGAGTAATTGCAAATGGCGGATTGGTGTTCTGAAAAGTTTCTGAATGATCCAGTGACTCCTCCCCCTGACCAATCAGTGACCGACAGTGTTCTGACGTCACGTTTTGGGACCTGCTCGGCCCGGTTGAAACCGCAGAGCCATGGGTTCTGAGAAAAGGGACCGGTTCTACGTACCATTTCTAATGGAAAAGGGGTATTACTGTGAGTTCTCAACAACAGCTGCTAAAGCGCCAGAAGTAATTCACTTTCTATTGACAAGAGCGACAAAAATGCCTAAAATGACAGTAACATTTTATTTGACATGAACCCGTCATAAACATGACATGTAAGATGAACATTAATGACACTCATTTAATGGTAATGGCTGTAGTTATAAAATGTCATTTGGTTTCTGTAATGTCTGCATCCCAAACAGTTTCAGCAGTTGCGCTGCAAAAACTGACAGACCTTTTTTTCCACTCCTTCCATCACCTTGAGCACAAAGAGCAAAAACATGCACGAGGTTGCTGGAGCTTTTGGCACCAGCTCCCTAAAGGCTTTCCATCAATACCCAAGCCCAGTGCCATTTATTCTTTGTGTCTTTATCAACATTAGTGTCTTCCTCTGGCTTCACAAACTTGTGGTCCATGCTCATTGAACAGCACTCGGAACAACTGCTGGATATGAATCAAAGTTTTGCCAAGACCCAAGGCCCCCCTCCTCCCTATTTCTGATTGGCTAGTAGGACTATCTATTGTGGTTGGGAGTGTAAGCGGTGCCTCTGTTAGATCCAGAGAAATATCTGTTAAATCTCTGGGTGAACCCAAATTAAATTTATTTATTTGGCGGTACACAGGAGATCCGGCACGGCGCCGGAGTGCTATCAGCCCGGCGCTTCTCTACCTGCCAGCCAGATGGCTCTCCATGTGCGAGCAACTCCTGCTCACTGCAGCAGCCGGGGCTGATTATTTATTCAGATAACCTCAGCCTCTCAGTGGGAGCTGCATGCTGCCAGCTCCATGGTATCAGGTTAAAATCCTGTTCTGGTGTTACAGCACTTTAAAACATCTCTCTCACTGCAGCCTTTACACAACTAGTGCGAACAAACAAACTAGGCTTTGTACTCAAATGTTGCAATAAAACAGAGGAAGCGTTTGGAATAAGAGGGGAAAAAAAATAAGAAAAGAAAATGAGGAAATTGTATTAAAAAATCAGTTTTTGGAGGATGCTTCCAGCTTAGTGAAGAAATAAAAATCTCAGTTTGATCTCAAACACACCCTCACTAAGACGACTCAGTCACATGGTGGAACTGAACATTTGTTATAACTGCAGGAGGTCCAGCTTCATCTGACATGAGTGATAAAGTCAGAGCAGAAAGGAACGAGGAAACATCTTCCCAGTTAAAGTCTGTTTGATATTTCAGTCATTAAAACCCTGAAGTAAAAAACAGAGAAACTCAGAAAATTATTTTGGAAGTTGTTTGTTTGTCTAGTTTGTTAGTCATCAGTAAAGATGCAAAACACCAAACGCTGCCATGTTTAAATCTATTTCATTCAGTCACACTTCGTACTGTCCACCATTACCCTTTAGCAGTGTTGTTCTTGTTAGCAAAATATCTGATGAACTGCTGGTCAAGTTTTAATGAAAGTTACAGTAAGTGATCATTTGATGTTTATCTACAACTCTAACTTTTGGAGTCACTTCAATTCAAGATGGCCACCACAGCTAACTGACCTTAGAAAACACAAAACGGCTATAACTGGCAATTTTACAGACACTAAAATAAAAAAACGTTAGCTGTAGTAGTAGCTGAGAGTTATAACCAACACATAGTCTGCGTGCTAACAGATTGCACAAGATGTTTGTATACAATTTTACCATTAACTATTTTGGGGTTAACGTTGTTAGCGGAATATCTCATGAACTACTTGTTAAATATTCTGGATGTGCTTCCTTAACTGATTAACCTTTGGAGCCAAACGATTTCAAGATGGCTACCACAGAAGGTTCTTCTTTTGGCTTTTCCCTTCTTCAGGGATCACCACAGCAAACTAAGTCGCACAAACACTTGGCAATTGTTTTTACGCCGGATGCCCTTCCTGACACAACCACAGATCACCGAGCTCCCCTCTGTGTGGAGCAGAGAGCTGCTATCTAAGGAGCCCGGGGAGCTACCACAAAAAATTGACCTTAGAAAACATAGAAATGGCTATCACTCAGTCAGTTTTACAAATACTGTGCTAATAAGTAAGTTAGTAAAAAAAAAAAAAAGAAGAACATAGTAGAAACTACAAGTAATTTACACCACGTACACTGAGCATGGCATCTTAGCATCGAACAAGTTTGGGCAAAACCTTATTTTCAAATTTGACCCAAATGACTTCAACTTGTAGCCTAAAATTCTGGCATGAAGAGTTATATGCTAGGCCTTGAATTTATTTTTATTTTAGGGCCAAACGAATGCTTACAAAACAACTTGCAAGATAAACAATGAACTTTGAAGTTGCGTATTGGACTGAAAGTTGGTTGCAATAGTTGCAAAACTTCAGTGGTAGAACTAAACGTGAAAAAGGCAATCGAAGTTATTTACAATTAGGCCTGTCACGATAAAAAAAAAAATTGCTGGGCGATTGTCTCAGAAATTATTGCAATAAACAATAATATTGTTTGAAATTTGTCAATAATTAGTAATTATTGTCAAATTTAAGAAGAAAGGTTAGTTCATTTTAGTTTGTGTGTAGTACCTTTTTCAACCACCGGATGGCAGTATAAGACTGTTTGAACCGAGGGATGGATAGTGAGGAAGCGAGCAGTGTGTCTCTTTAAGAAAAATGGGAGGGAGGCCTCTGACGTGACATGGGCTGTCTCTCCAGTTCTCAAAATGGTGGATGCTCAGTGTGGTTTGAGCTCTTTAGCATAGTATTTTTCACGCAAAGTTTTTAATAAAAAATCAGTAAACAAGTTCTCAGCTTCTTTTTGTAGACAAAAACAACTTATTAGACAAAAGTACGAGTTTCAACCCTGAATTTTGGAGCTTCGACAAGAGGTTTTTCTTTTCCCCGAGGTCGGCCTGTTAGCTTAGCTTCTCAGCTTAGCTGCTTTTAACGATCCAAAAACATGATTTTGGACGGTTAAAATGGATTTTAAAGCGAAAAGAGAAAGGGAGGGGTCAGTGAAGAACACTGGAGTTGAGCCTTTTTGTCATCCAGCGTCTTCAGAAGAAAGTGAGAGACACGAAGAAACGATAAAGCCAATAAATGAAAGTGATGTCAATAATTGTAATTTATCACGTGATTAATTGATTTATTGCGACAGGCCTGCTTACAATACATCTGGGATTTCATTACGACATTGAAGCGAAGAGATTAAAAAATAAAAACAATAAAAAACAATCACACATTCAGGTTGCAGATGGAGACACAGGACGAGCTGAACCTGCAAAAATCAAATATAACACTCGAGCTCCAGCTGGGCGGAGATACAGATCCACACACACTTCTCGTCTGGTTTCAGGCCAAATCAGGAAACTAACTTTCTCCTCCGGTGGGCGCGGCGGAGGCTGATGACTCACACACATTCATCTTTCTAAAGCTGCTCTCCAGCAGTGGCACAAGAAGCCAAATGGAGTTTTACAATAAGAAAGTACAAGCAGCACATTTAGACTCATTCAGTTTCTCATAAAGCCATTTTTGTTTTTAGATTATGTCACTTGTGTGAATATGAGCAGGAGATACGAGGGGATAGAAAGGCTGAAACCGGGACTGTGGAAGAATCACGGCATGAGAGGGATATTTAACCACTTCTGTTACAAAGATAAAATGTCAGTATGTTTTACATCATGTAAATGTATCATAAACCACTGCTGATATATGTCTACAACAGAGTCACAATGTTTTATCAATGTAAATCTGTGGTTTATTAAAAAAAATCCTATTCACCAGCTTCAATTGGATCACTCATGGTGCATCATAGAGAGTCCCTGTTTACGTCATCCATCCATTTTCTTTACCCACTCTTTCCTGTCTGGGTCACACAGAGCTGGTGCCTATCTCCAGTGGTTATTGTGTGAGAGTCAGGATACACCCAGGACAGGTCGCAAGTCCGTCACAGAACCACACGGAGCCAACAGATCACTACTCACGCCATCACGCACAACTTGTAACAACTTAAGAGCTACCAGTTTTAGGTGTGTGGAAGAAAACAGGAGCACCCAGAGAGGTCTCTTATGGGAGGCTAACCTTATTGCTATGAGGCAACAGCTCTAACCACTGCTCCACCATGCCTTGTGCAATTATTGTAATGTTCTATATCTTATTTCTCTGAACAAGTCTACTAAAGTCAATGAAGCAAACACAGTATCAAGGTAACAGGCTATAAATCAGATTTAGGTGCAAGAACAATTTAGGAAATTAAACGATGAGTGGACAAAAAAACTTACCTGTGTGATCATTGTAACGCTCTACGTAGTACAAATATCGGACGGCTCGGTTCTTGGCCTGCATGATAAACACACAACAAACTACTGCAAAGTTGTATTTTTTTATGCAACATAATTTTGGTGAGCTGCATTAAAACGTTTACATGACGGTCATGCTGCAGTTCATTGCCATGTGTGGGAATAATATACAAAGAAATAGTGGTAGCAATTGTAGATGTTTAAAGCAAAGGCCTTAAGCCATGTCATTTCTGGGTTAAAGTCACTCAAAACTGCAGCTTAGTTGGGTGTGAGATAATAAAAATGGGTGAAGGACATGATGTGATACTCTTTGGATAATTATATGTGTGTGTGTGTGTGTGTGTGTGTGTGTGTGTGTGATTTGAGGCAGGAAGATATGTTTAGAATAATGTGCTGTATAACCAGGGCAGTGAGCTGTGAGTGGCTAGATAAGAATGGGACCGTCGGCCAGCCCAATGGGAGGGAATAACATCATAGTATAAGGTCTAATGCACAGCTCACTTCCTTCACAACTGTTGGGCAGTGCATTTACAAGCAATTCTCCACATCTGTATTCTTGTTTGTGCATTTTTGTTCAACAATAAGGAGTTTATTAATCCTGATGAAAAACCTGTGATATTTTCGAGCAAACTAACGTGGGAAGGTCGACTAGGCAAAATTAGGACTTCAACGCGCGTTACATTATTCTATTAAAGTTCAAAACGCAAATCTTACATTATAAACATAGTGACAAAAAAGCAACTTGCGGTCTTACCTTCCTCATAGCTGCCATTCTATCTGATGCTTTACCCAAAGCAAAGCCTAGAGGAAGGGAGGAGAGTCACTTTAATCTTATGATCAAAGATAATAAACATGTATTAATCTTATGATCAAAGATAATAAACATGTATTAATCTTATGATCAAAGATAATAAACATGTATTAATCTTATGATCAAAGATAATAAACATGGATAAGATCTAAAACAACAAAGTCATTACATGGATAAGCTTAGACTCCACCAGCATTTTCAGTTTGTAAAATGTGTCAGTGAATAAACACAACGTATTCACCGAACTGTAACTGCATTGTGAGCAAGAGTGCTTTCTGTGATGTTAAACTTATTTCAGGCTTTACAGCAAATGAGACATGATGGTGTTTAACACAAAGGCCGAGTCATGGAAGACTGAAGGTAGCACCATGCAAAATGTGTGAAAGGTTGCCTTTTCTTTATGCCACTTACCTCTGAAGAGTGTGAAATGTGCAAATCTCCAGAAACAGTTTTTTTACACTAAAAAATATGATCTGTTTCAGCTCTGGGATTTTTAAATTTTTTTAACAAGAAATTTAAAAGATTTTCTATTAATATTTTTACTAATAACACAGATACGCAGAAACAGTTATATAAATTTATAAAATGTGTGCTTCATTGTTGAGACCATAGTTTGAAAGTTGTGTCAGGAAACTTATTCTTTAGAAAAAAAGTTAAACTCAAACCTGCAGCTCCTTTGCCGTTTCCTACGGCAACCAAACAGCTGACGGTCTTCTTCCTGCCCTCTTTGGCATTCATGCAGAATACATTCTTTAACTATTAAACACAAGACAGGGAAGAGCATGTTTAGTACAGAAAGAAAAGTCTGAGTTATTTTTTAACGAGAAAATATATAAAGTCATTGAAAAGCACAACAATAATTATAATTTAATGCCAACATGTAAAACATTTGGGACCAGTGCCCTATGTTACAAGGCCTAGCTTTTTAAACTCTCTGTACACACTTAACATTTGACTAAAACAATCTGGGTTGTGAATAGTTAAATGTGTTTTTTTATTTTTATTTTTTATGAATCACTTGCTTAGATGTTGAGATCATCCCTATCAGCTCTTGTAATTATCATTAGCATTATTATTATTATTATGCAAGGTCAAATGATGAGAGAAAAATACTTAAATTATGCAACTGTCCACAAATGTTAAATCATAAAAAAAATGTAGCTTTTATTCAAAAGTTAGTTTTCTTTGTTTTTGGTAATTAAACACCTTTATTTATTTTGGTCAATAATGTTCAGTTCATAATTAACAAGTGCCTGTGTTTGGATAGGTACAGGTGTTAGTTGTCAATCTAGACTTTAATTGTTCAATTATGAGTTTGTAGACAAAGTACACAGTAATTTCTTTCACACTCGCTCAACACACTTTCTCCTCCCTTGTGTAAAGGTAATGATCGATCAACTTCTGGCAATATGACAACAGAACAGCAGGGGGCAGTATACATGCACCACGGAGATATGAGGGGAGGAAGAGAGGGAGAGAGAGGAAAAACAGGAGATGAGTGGAGGACAAAACAAAATAAAGGAAATGAGGAAAAAGAGGATGTAGAGACAGTAATCTAAGACTTAAGCGAACTGGAGAAGAAAAAAAATAGAAGAGTTACAGGAGATAGAAAAAGAAAAGTAATGGCAAAAAGGAAAATGTCAGTAGACAGAATAATAATAATAATAAAAAAGCTTATAATGCCTCTTTGCACACAAAACAGCTTAGAAGAGAGGTGCTAATCCGATTAAGTGGACAAACACGGTGCAGGAAAGAAAGTGTGGAAGCAACAACAAAAACAACCAGGAGGGATTATGGTACCACTGAACATGTGCGCCTCTGAGGTGATGATGGTTAACTTCAAAGGAATGAACTGAACATGCAACATTGCGTGTGTGTGTAAAAGCCTAGATGAAAAGGAGAGTGGAGCGTATGAACATCAGTGTGATGACAGATGAGCAAAATATGTTGACGCCCCCTAAATAAGCGTCATGCGAAACTGGACAAGATACACGCATCGGTGCTGACGCAGTGAATGAGACGACAAGTTGCTGTAATATTTCACCACCGAGCAGAGAGGTGAGCTCAGCGTCACAGTGATGATGCTTGCAATGATACAGAAAACAGACGAGCTCTTTACAGAGTTCACTGAATTGATTAGAGGATTGATGGAAAGGTTTCTTTGTCATACAATCTTTCTAGACTGTTTATGTCCTTTGAAAATGTTGCCATTGAAACATTTGAATAATTAGTATGGGACACTGAATAATTGCAGACTTAACAACTTGTGACTAGGCCTGTCGCGATAAACAACAAATCAATTAATCGCATGATAAATGAAAATTATCGACCTCATATTCATTTATCAGCTTTATCATTTCTTCATGTCTCTCTCTTTCTACTGAAGACACGACTCAACTCCGGTGCTCTTCACTGACCCCATCTCTTTAAAATAGTTTTAACCATCCAAAATTGCATTTTTTGATCGTTAAAAGCAACTAAGCTACGAGCTAAGCTAACAGCCTGACCTCGGGGAAAAAACCTCTGTCTGTCAAAGCTCCAATGTGCCTCCCTCCCATTTTTCTAAAAGAGACACGCTGCTCGCTCCCTCAGTATCCATCCTTCGGTTCAAACATCTTATACTGCCATCCGGTGGTCGAAAAAAGGTACTACATGCAAAACAAATTAAACATGTCTTCTTAAATTTGACAATAATTACTAATTATTGTAACAAATGAGGGCAGCACGGTGGCGCAACTGGTAGAGCTGCTGCCTCCCAGCGAGCAGGTCCTTGGTTCAAACCCCGGTCCGGGGACCTTTCTGGGTGGAGTTTGCATGTTCTCTCCGTGCATGCGTGGGTTTTCTCTGGGTGCTTCGGTTTCCTCCCACAGACCAAAAACATGCATGTTAGGCTGATTGGTAACTCTAAATTGTCCCTAGGTGTGAGTGAGACAGTGAATGGTTGTTTGTCTCGTTTGTCTCTATGTGTCCCTGTGATGGACTTGCCACCCGTCCAGGGTGTACCCCGCCCCTCGCACAGTGATTGCTGGACATGGGCACCAGCGACCCCCGTGACCCAAAGTGGAATAAGCGGGTAAAGATAATGGATGGATGTAACAAATGACAATAATTACTAATTATTGTCAAATTTTAAACAATATTATAGTTTATCGCAATAATTTCTGAGACAATTAATCATTTAGTAAAATTTGTCATTGTGACAGGCCTACTTGTGACCCAGAAACTTTTACGTGTTGGCACAACCAACAGATTTGTAAGAAGGATTGTCTTAAGTCCATTATCTTGTGACTTTTCTGAGGTCTTTCCTCAGTGAACTCTAGAAAAACTAAAAATCCAGTTCTTTATAGAGATGGACATTTTAAGTAGAAACACTCACATTTTCAGAAATTAAATGATAACAAAAAATAGTAAAAAAACATTAATTCCTTTATTTTCACCAGTGCAATTGTTCAACATGGAGGGGAACAATCAAGCAGATAAACATGATGAGAAGACTAAACTAAATGTCCTTGTTTTCTCTTGAATTGACGGCAGCATGAGCAGGTTTATGGACACTGCCATGTTGTATTTTTGGAACCAGAATCTGTGCACTAAAGATGTGGGAATTTGAGTCCTGCCTACTTTGCTGCACATCATTATAGAGGTACATGACATTTTCTTTTAAGAATGCACAACTGAAACATATTTAAAAAAGGAATGTTTGAATATATTGCAGTAAAATAAAAGCAAGAAGAATAAATGAAAATCAACATCTGAAAATATCTGAGAATTATTTTATTTTAAGGGTTAAGTTCTATTAAATTACATATATGAGTGGGACTTAAAACTTGTACTGGGACCAGCTTTTGAGACCTTAGTCCCCTTCTGGATACAACAAACAAACCCATGTTGGGTTCAGTATTATAATATACTTTCTCTGGTAATGCTAAGCTTACCAGTGACCATAGTTTCCCCTTTATAAAGCAGTCAAGAATAAACTATAATGGCAGGAACGAGTTGCTCCAAGTAGCAGGTGTTATGTAGAAAATTGCACCCCGACTGAAAAAGCACCATTAGAAAACCACTTGGTGTGTCATTACCAGATGCCAGAGTTAAAGATCCATCTATCTGATCATTCTCTTTACCAGCTTTTTCTTAACTGGGCTGTGTGGGAGCTGAGGTCTATCTCCAGCAATCATTGTGTGAGAGAAAAAAGAAATGTGATTGTTACAGTCAAATTAATTCTTCAAAATTCCCTAATTTAAAGTACATATTAAATATTCAAAAAATAAATGCCCATCATTAATTCTTCAGTGCACAAGTGTCAATTTTAAGTTGACCTATTGTGAGTTTGTGCAAAGCTAGCTACTGCTACAACAAAGTGTATCTACTAAGACCAAAGACTCAGGTAGAAGATGCTAGAGCTGCAGGGTGATCATTCTCTTCATCACCACAAGCAAGTCGTTTTATTGATCCACTGCTTGCTAAAATAAATATTGATCAGTAGAGGTTTAAATCTTAAACAGATTTAAGGTAATAAAATGTGAGTCTGGCTGTCTTCAATAGTGATTAAAAGATACTAATCAAACCCAAACAGTGGATGCACACAATTGAGTCTAATGCCTCTTATGCACCGTAAAGCCCGGTTTGACCTGGACCGGCCACAGTTGGCCCAGCCCCGGTCTTCCTGGGCTGATTTCTTTCATTGCCTTTACAAAGTATAAATCCAGAAACCACATCTGAAGATCTCTGGTTTTGTTTGCTTTTAGCAGAGTGCCACCTCGATGTGAGCAAGACCAAATCTCAGCTCAGCAATAACTGCACCTCATAGTTTGTCCAGGGCACTGGGACAATGTTTTGCGTTGCCATTTTTTCTAAAGAAAAACAGGAGCTCTTTCTATCACTCAACCAGCCAGATATGTGCTGCTGATCTCATGCTGCTGATTATCTCATGCTGCTGTATTCGTTCATACCCATCTACTCACTACAGTCTCATGTTCAGGCTGCTGCTTAATATACCGTATTATTTTGCATTTTAGTGTTTAGCATATATCTTAGATACTTTAGATCCTATTTAGCATATATCTTAATATCTTAGATCCTTTTATACTATTTCTATTTATACTTTATTTTTTGGCTATTTTTGTGTGTAACTGGGACATTGAGTACACACTTTCGTTCCACCTCATGTACCACATGTGATGCGAATGACAAAAGTTTCTTGAACTTGAGAAGTAAGTAGCTGAAGGAAATGACAGTAAGGAGCAGTCACTGGAAGTATAATTCGTCTGTGACGTGACCCCAAAGGGCCAGCGAACCAATTAATGGCCAGCAGTCTGTTGATGTCAAATCTGCAGCACCAGCCCAGCCTGAATGAAATCCCAGGTAGGGCTCTGGGTTCCAAAGATCGAGCTGGAACTGGGCCAGACTGCCCAATACTGACTTTCAAAACCCGGGGCGGAACCTGGGTCGAGCCTAGAGCTGTCATTTCTAACCCAGGCCTGAAGTTCGGCCCAGCCCAAATTGGGCCATAATAATGTGATGGATGGGCGGGCCGGGTCTGTGTCAGGTTTTTGATTGCGTCAGCAGACGCGCACAGCTGAAGATCCAATTATATGGCAACATGGCTTGCCATACTTCATATTATATGACAACATGGCTTGCCATACATTCACCAGCTGCACTCGGCCATTTGACTGCGCACTGACCGGCCTTGAAAGAGGTAAAATAAATCTAAGCTTTAGATGGGACTACCGGTACTGCCAGGAAGCAATCTA